TCCCCCTCCAGTTCCTGGCAGTCTCCAGCTCACAGCACCTGCTCATGGCAGGGTCTCACCTGCCCTTCCTCCCATCACARGGAGCTCCAGTGGGCACTGCTGTGAGTGAGAGCTGCAGCACTCTCATGAAGAGCATCAGGGACTCAGATCACACTTAGGAACTTCCAGAAAATGATCAGAGACAACTCCAGAGGTAAAGGAAAYTCTTCTCTTTAGAGGCAGTTTAGGGAATCCCTCCACTAACACAGACTTGTAACCCTACAGGAGAATTGCTCTGCCTCCCCTAARGAACACCCTGATCMYTYCTTGCACYGAGATMGAGCCTTGCACCACACAAACACCCCAACATTCCCCTGCAAGGAAAGTCACTCACCATCTTCATCATGGCCCTGGCAGGAGGGGACACCTGGGAGCGATATTTATTGTGTTCATCCAAAATTATCTTCTTTTCTTCATCAGTCAAGGACCAGCTGTGCTCCAGCACTGAGAGCACCAGGAGAAGGGGAGGAAGACCTGAGCTCAGCATCGTGCAGGCAGCTTCTGCTCTCAGCAGCCCACGGCTCTGGCAGTTGGATTTAAAGCACCTCCCAAAAGCAAGGAACACCCAACAGAAGATTGGGGAGGAAATGTATTTATTAGAGTTTTGGAGCCATGCAGAACACACCCATCTCACATATCGGCCTTGATGGAGAGGCAGCAGTGCCAACGAACACGCAGGGTCCCCTCCCTGGGACAGACCCCGTGCCTGAATCCTAATCCCTGGATCAGCATTCTCCATCCAAACCTCTGCTGCTCCAAACCTCAGCCATCCCCTGAGCCCTCAGTTACGGGTCCTTTCTTTTACCTCCAGTCCCATTTCTCCTAATCTGTAACAAYAATCCCACAGCAAAGCCCTGCTTTCACACAAGTCTTCCCCCATCCCTGGAATGCAGCTGCGTTAGAAACAAAAGGCAGCAAGATGCGACTGCTGAGAGCGGTTTGCAGCACAGGAATCCCCCAGGCAGAGCCAGAGCCCTCCTCGGCCATGTCTGTGTTGGGGGGACAGCATTTGGCAGCTCAGGAACATTCCCCGGGCTGCCCCAGCCTGCTGGGAACGGGGGAAGCACAGGATTGATGCCCTTCCYTGAGCCATCGGGAGAAGGGGGAGCAGGAGAGGAGGAACAGGGTACGGATCTGAAACTGCCCCAAACAGGGAAGTTTGGGGTCTGTGGCTATTCTAAGCAGACCCTCGGCTCTGCAGGGCCAGGCTGTGCTGTTCCCCGCAGCWCCTGGAGGGCTCAGCAGCCGCAGCCGCTCCGGCCGAGCCCCCCGGGCTGCTGCAGCCTCGGCTCCCCATCTGCGATTGTGCAACCGCCCGGCCCCGCTCCAGGAGCTCCGCTGGGATCACAAAGTGCTAGAGAGGAGCAGCGGGTGGGCAGCTCTGCCGAGCGGAGCCAAGTTAATCACACGCCGCCGGCTYTGTCTCCCCCTCCCCTCCCCACGAAACGCTTTGCCGGTTTTCCCCTTGTTTCGGACCGCACGGATCACCTCTCTCACCACAGCAGCTCCCCTGCTGCCCCCCAGATCCCTCACTACTGTCTATTGCCTTGTCCTTCACTAGCTCTGGGTCTGCCATACCCTCAGTACCCCAACAATTCCTGCAAGGGGGGTCTGAGGCCARCGTCTCACCAGGTCTTCAACTCAGCCAGTCAAACCAGAGGTTCCCATGTATTGTTAAGGCACATCTGTCTCGTGATGGAGACACTCAACACATCTGCTGTTGTATCTCTGGAGACCTGGAGAAACATCTAGAAAACATCAACATGGGCTCCAGCTCCTGCTGGCTGGCTCACCATGGCCTGGCTTACGAGGAACAAGGCAGTGTGGAGAATCACAGAGCCCCTGAATGGTTTGGGTTGGCAGGAACCTGAGAGCTCATCTCATTCCAGCCCCTCTGCCGTGGGCAGGGACACCTTCCACTTGAGTGCAGGTGCTGATCTTCCAAAAGTGATGTGGAGATGCAGGGCCAAGCTCCACATAGCCCCTGGCACTCCAGCACCCTGRCTGAGCCCTGCAGAGATAGTGTGGCAGCAAGGATGAAGGAAAATGGGATACACAGAGCTTGTGGGGAAGAGCAAACAGCCCTGGAGGAGTCACCACCAGGGCATGTGACTCAAGGGGAAATGTGATTAAGGGCTGATACCTTTGTTAGGCACAGGGTGGCTGCCAGAGGGGTGCAGGGCCATTTCCCAACTCCCAATTTGCCCCGACAGCCACTTCTGGAGCCAATGTCTGAAGCGTCAAGATCAGCAGTGCAGGGTCCAAGCCCCACCCTGGGGCTGAACACTCGTGTCCAGCGGCATTAGGTAATCGTGTGTGGAATGCAGCTTTGCTGCTACTCCTCAAGGATCAGCCCGTCCCCATGCCCTGGGGACAAGGAGCCACATATAACACCTGCCAGGCTCTGCTCCAGAGAAGGGCTGCTTCACAGACCCCATTCTGCAGCCCAGAAGTGACCAAGCCTGGGTTTCTACTGACTCACATCTCCAGGGTGTCCAGC